GAAGTTAGAGGGTTTACCTCCTCGTCTTTTCCGCTGGGGGGGGGAGCGCTCTTAATTCTTTTTCTTCGCATTTGACAACTCACAGTTTAGCCGATCTTTTCTTTTTTCATTTCATCAGTTGTTCGCTTTATCACTCGGTGACGTCTGGTGGCTCCGCTAAACCCCATACGGGGTCGCTCACGCAGCAAGGTCCATTGGGGCAGGGCATGGCGAGAGTCTCGATCTCCGACCGTTCGGCCGGGAAAGAGACTCCCCCCTAGTGCACCCTAACGCGCCCTGGATCCGAGCCCCTCTCTTTCTGAGGGGCTTGTTTGGGTCTCTGCTCGCGCGGATTCCCTCCTCCACCGCGGGCAGGCGAGACGCCCTCGGGAGCGACCCGAGGATGCGTCCGCCATTCGCGGGAGCCAAACCGGAAGCCAGGATGCTTCATTGAAGTGTTGATAAAGCTGGCCATCCTATTGTAAACCAAATGTCCATTTGGCAGGAAATACCAATGCAGGAACAAAGCATGAATGTGTTGTACGTGATCACAACTACATCTGCAATGGGGGCTGTCTCTTCTCAAAGCTGTTGTTTCTTAACTGCTCACAATAATGGAGGTGTGTGTGCTTCTTCACCAGGCTGGTAACTGTGTAGCTTAAACCTTATTCACGTGTAAGACTTGTGCAGGCACCTTCTATGTGTTGCATCACAACAGGTGACTTAGAGTGTACATTTCTCTGAGCCTATGTGTGTGTGTGTGCACAGTCCATTGTGTGTAGCAATAAATATAAGTCCATAAGTCAAATATCAAGTTCATTCTCTAACAAACCATGGCCTCCAATCCCCTGGCCAGCATTCATCAACAGATGTAGCTGGGTGTTGTCAGTGTACTGATGGCATCCCAGTTCAAAGCTCCACACCAGCTGGGCGAGGGGGCGCATAAAGATGTTAAATAGCATTGGGGAGAGGACTGCCACTTGGGGGACACCACATACCAAAGTGTATTGCAGTGACACCCTCTCCCCTAATGCCACCCTCTGAGACAAACCACATCAAGGCTCTCCCTCAAATCTCTATATTGGCAAGGTGGTGGGTCAACAGATCACATTTATATCGTAGTTTCAGAACGTGAAAGAACTTCAGGTACATTACTTTAGGATGTTACTATACAATGCATTTCCTTCAGATCCTCTCTGGGTCCACCACGAGGACTTTCAGTCAGACATATGCCATGCTTGGAACTCAGTTTCCAGGGACACGCAGACCTGATTTCAGCAACTTGAAGAGCCACCAGCCCCACACTATTTTCTTGACCTGAAATTAACTCAGGGAGCTGCTGCTTGTCCCATTGGAGAAACTTCCATTTCATGGGGCAGATAACAGCTTCTTGGGGCTGTTACATGTCAAGAAAACAGCATTGGGGGGGGAGGCTTAAGCTGTCACAGTTCTCATTCAGATCAGGCCTTGTGCACATGGCAGTTGAATTTCAAGCTTGGAAGTAGAGCTACAAACCTCCTTGAAGATCTCCTGGAATAACAATGGACCTCCAGAAGAGGTCTGAAGGAAATGGCAGCTTTGGAGGGTGGATTCTATTGCATCACTTTCCTGCTTACCCCACTGTGGTCCCTCCCGGTCCTGGCCCCAGACTCTACCCTCCCTGGGCTCCACCCTCAAATCTCCAGGATCTCCCCAAGCTGGAGTTGGCAACCCTACTTGGAGCCCGTGTCTTGCTGAAAGTCAGTGTGGTAGACTAGGGAGGACGTGAGGAAATGTGACATGTAGTTTGGCACTCATCCACCAGGTACTTCTTATCTTAATAGTTTCTCCGGAAGTTGCTAAGCCTATAGTGTAATCCACTTTTGTTATCCCAAAGCAGAGAGAACTAAAATTGAGAAAGTATTGCTTACAACAGTGTAGTCTGCTGTTACCAGAGACTGCAAATCAAATGAACATGAAAATGATATTAAAGCACTTGCAGGTAATATAACAAAAGTATTAAGAATGTACAAAACATTTTGCATTATACAGATAGAGAACAGAGACAGAGGTTATTTGATCATGCAGTTTTTCTCTCACACTCATACAGAGCAACTCAGAGATGACTGGACCAATGTAGAACTCCCCTCTCTGTGTGTGACACACTCAGGATGTTGCCCCTGCTCTCTCCCCCCGTTTTCCTGCCTTTCCACAAGTTTCCTACCTCTGTTTCTTGCTGCAAGCCTGCTTAGTCAGGTGGCGGCCATCTTTCGTTTGGGAGGACACTCAGCCCAGGGAGCCTCACTTTGTCATACAGACACGTGCTGAATAACTTTCCCTCAGGTAAATCATTGATTAAAAATGGGAACTTTGAAACTTCAGAGCTTTAAAACCTCACCACAAACTTTCACCGAACCAGTGAAGGGCGACATCATTACATTTTTGACAGAATCTACACTGGCAAAAGGAAAAATTGAAGGTACGTTTTGGGATGCGGAGATGGTTCTAAACATGTGAGGCTTTATTTCAGAGTAAAATTCTAAAAAAACCGATATTATTTGGCCATTCTTCATCAGATTTTTCTGAAAATGGGTCAATAATTAAGCTGGTGAAATGAGTGCCTCTGAGGAGTTAGGATAGAAAGCTAGACTGAAGGCACTGTACAATGTTGGCATCCATTGTGCTAACCCTGGTGGATTCCAGCTGTCACACTGGCCAACGCCTGACTACCAAACAGGTGGTTTAACAGAGTTAGTAGAACTAAAAATATATATTTTAAAAAAAGTAGAACAGGATGTGGCAGTCCTGGAGCTACCTTTAGTTTCGAAATGGTCAGAGTGGTCTCACAAGGACTGAAAGGTGCTTTGCAAGCCCTCACAGAATTACACCCTCTCTGTCTCTGCCAGGAATTTGGTGTAGCACAGCAGCTAAGGTGTGATCAGGAAGATTTGCTGATTCCAATCTCATCTCGGCAGCAAACTCACTAGCAGCCTTAGGCAAGCCCCTGCATCTCAGAGGAGGTCTGTCTTTTGGGTTTGGCTACCATCAGAAATGCTGGCAGGGGGATGGAGGGACATTCCGGGAGCTGGAAGTGATGTCTTGCAACGTCCCTATGTCATCTGGAAGTGACATAGGCACGTCGGGGGCAACGCTCTGGTTTTTGGGCAAAACTGTACTGTAAAATCAGCCTCAAACCATAGAGTTTTGCCCAAACACCAGAGTGTCCCCCCACCCCACCCCGGCATGTCACCAGCGTGCCTACATCACTTTCGGGTGATGTAGGCACATTGGGTTTATTTCTGGCAACCTCACTGTTTGGGAGGGGAGTTTCTTCCCACTGGACATATGGCGAGGGGTGGCCAGGAGCCCACAAAACTGGGAGATCCCCTGCCCCCCAACTGGAGAATGGCAACCCTGCTCTCAGATAATCCTGGCCTGCCTTACAGGACTGTTGAAAGATTACCATAAGCATATGTATGTGATACTGTAAACCCATGTGTGTACCAACAGTACACTGGTTCCCAGCTTTCATTTCTAGCCTTTTGCCTACCTTTGCCAGGTTCAGCAGTGGAGTCTTTATTATCTTGGTCCATGCAACCGTGCAGCAAACTTCCATGAGCATATGAGAAAATAACTTTCTGGATCCACATTCTGTTCTATGGGTCCATCTAGTCCCAAATTCTGCTCCTGACAGTGAGCAGCCAGATGCCACTAAGACATTCTTGCAGAGGCGGTAGAAATATCTACTCCCACACACACACACACACACACAGTTTGGCCCCAGCACCAGATAATCAGATTTGTATTGCTTGGAGGTAGAGAAAAGAATTTGGTTCATTTGTTCCTCCTGAATGTGATGGTTGGTGCAGAATGGAGTTGCTGGTTAGGGGAAGAGGTTCTGCATTTGCTTAAGACTTCTGCAGATGCCATCTGTGTGTTTTTTAAAAAATCTGTATCACCTTGAAGACTCGACATTTTTCCTTTTTGTCTTTATTAAACAAACCTTGAGGCTCCCGGGCATTGAAATGTAAGTGCAAAAAAAGCTCTGTGTCATTACTCATTGCTTTTAGCTTTCTTTTTGTGACTTCTATGATCATTTACACTGCAGTATTTAATTCATTTTATGGTCCACCATATAAGTATTTACTCAGAAATCGGTGCCATTGAGCTCACTTAGTTCCCAGTAAATATGCATAGGAGTGCAACCTGAGATATCTGGCATCTCAGCAGAGACCAACAAAATGATCTGTTTGTTCTAATTCAGGAGGCCAGTCTTGCAGATTCCAAAGCTGTTGATGGTAACACACAGACAGAAACAACCGCTCTGCTGAACAACTCAGGGCAGCAACCTCAAGAACCCATGGCTGAATCAAAGGCACCGGGCAGACTGAACCAGATATGCGCCTGTCCTCCACAAGGAATACTTGCCAGAACGATAACATACGGTATGTATAAGAAAGGATAAGGATAAAGAAACCACACCCTTTGGTTCAGAACAGGTCACAGTCCAAAACCGACCTGCACAAACTGTGTTGTGCCAAGTTGAATTGGGATGTATTTTGGTCAGCCAAAATGGCCAGTTTGGTTCCTCTCTCCTCATTTTGCAATCCGGAGCAGTTAGCCCAACCAGAACTGCAATCCAGAGCAGTTAGCCTAACCAGAAGAAGAAGAAGAAGAAGAAGAGATTTGATTTATACCCCGCCCTTCACTTGGAGTCTCAGAGCGGCTTACAAACTCCTTTCCCTTCCCCTCCCCACAACCGACACCCTGTGAGGTGGGTGGGGCTGAGCGAACTCTTGGCACAAACTGCTCTTTCAGGAACAGCTGTGCCAGAGCTTGTGACTGACCCAAGGTCACATCAGCAGGTGCAAGTGGAGGAGTGGGGAATCAAACCCGGTTCTCCCGGATTAGAGTCCGCACACTTAACCACTACCCCAAACTGGCTCTCTGGGAGGCTTTATTTTAGTGCCACATTGTTCTTCATAGTGGCTTTATTGGCTGTCTTGAATTACTCACAGTTTAATGGTGCTTGATAGAATTATAAATTCCACCCAATGCAAGAAATAGCAGCATTGGAGTTTGTGATGAAAAGAGCCCCTAATTTGTTGGGTCGTGTTGACTTCAGCTGACATCTGATTCACTTCCAGAATGTGGAAACCACACTTGGGGTCCAAAGTGGGAATGGAATACTGTCCCTTAGAGTCACCAGGAAAGATGTAGCGTCTGCTGCTTTTTGTGGCCCAGAAAACAGACTGTAGGAACATATATAGTTCAGATAAAGCTATATAGGTTTGGCCATGTGATATGCCTAGAAGGAGACTGCCTGGAACCATATATAAGTCACTCTGTGCTTTTATCAAACAAAACCAGGGGTATAAATGTGGTTAATAAAAAGCGTCTCTGGGGCCTTACCCATTCCCCTTAAAATCTTTCTGCAAGTAATAAGAAACTCCTAGTATCCCATTTGTTTTGTTCTGTCTGACCTTCAATTCATTGGCTTTTCTTTTGTTTTAATCAAAATTGTGAGCTCTTAAGATGGGTCTTAATGTTCTCACCCATAAGTGAACTGCAAAAAAAGGATTTTAGTGAGATCGTATTTCTGATCTGTGTTGTAACTGGGCTATGACCAATAACACATGGAGAGAGAGAGAGGCTTTCTCCTCTGCCAAAGTATAATATCAAAAACATGAGCCACGGATATCAGTAAGATCCATGCCTAACATAGAAATAACTAAGGAACCTGGCTCAAAAACAGTGCTGGGGAAAGAGTCCAGTCCAAGCACATTTATTGCACAGACCATGTTGGTAACGCTCTCCCAAGAGTTAGGAATGCTTCCTCTAGGGATGGGCACAAACTGGGAAAATGGTAGTTTGTGGTGGTTCATTTGATTACATGAACCACAAGCTTTCATGAACTTTTCCCGTTTCCCAAACCAGTTCATGGTTTGGGAGTGTGGGAGGCGGTAGAACAGTCCCCTCATGAGTTAGAGATGTCAAACTCACAGGTAGCCTTCAGCAAGCTCTCCTCCACCTGCCTGCCAAGTTTGGTGAAGATTGGATTTGGGATGTCTGAGTTATAGCCTCCCAAAGCAGGTGCCCCCAGGAAAGCTCAGCCATAGCATCTTCTTAAATCAGCCACACAGCAAGCAATTCTTCCTAACTCACTCTCACATGAGGACTAACTCTTCTCTCTTCCTGCTGCAAAGTGAAAGCAGCTGAGTCAGGGTGTGGTATATATACAGTATGCTCCCATAGAGCAGAATGGGAGCTCCACGGTTGGTTCCCAGAGCTGCCGATCAAGCTATGGACAACTGCTATGGGTGTTTCTAGGGCTCTCCACAAGTCCACCTCCAGCATTGCCTAGGAATTGATTGAATCAGCGCCAGGCTGTCTGGAGAACAAACCGCTCTAATGAACCACATGAACTTCCATGGAAAAAAGGGGGTTTGTTTTTGGATTCGGAAATGATGCGACCAAATGAATTGGTTCGAAACGAACCATGAACCGGCCTGGTTCATGCTCAGAATGTGGTTTGTTTCTTGGTTTGTACCCATCCCGAGTTTCCTCATAGAGCTTTCCAGTTTTACTTTTGATTATTCACTCAAATACCCCTCAGAAGTTTTACCATTGTTATTTCCTGCCAATCTTGCCGGAAGGCAGGTGAGGAAACTCAATGGTCAAGAGATATAAGATATAGCTGCTTTGTCGATGTTAAGTAGGTGTGGATCTGATCAGTGCTCATGATGGAAGTTTTCAGCTCCAGTTAATTTAAAACATTTTTTTTAAATTGCCAAGTTGCAGTGGCATCACTTCAGAAGCACTGGCCTGTTCATACAGTGGCAGCCAAAGGCAGTCTGCAACATTTTCCTGTCAAAGAGCATCATGAGATGCCTCTCATTCATGGAACATCTTGAGACAGCATGATTCAGTGTGAATCTCTGCATCACATTATAACTAGCTAAATGACCATGATCATAAGATGAATTGTCATGTGAAATTGAGAACAGATCATTTTGCACACAGTAGAGAGGAGTAAGTATAAACGCTCGTTAGCATTCATGAATTTCCATAACTGGAATATCCTCCAGTTAGATCCAGGTTTTCCACCTATGCTTTCCAACGCCCATCCATGGCTTACCAGGAAGCGCATGAGCAATTCCAAAGTACCGACCTCTCTGAAACCTAAATAATGTATGATGTGACCACCAATATCTCCCTATACCCCGTTCAGATTCCAGCATAGCTACTGTGCTGGTCTGCAGTGTGAATCCTGCTCACCTATGTGCAACCATTGTTAACGAGCAATTGGGATAGTATTAGATAACTTGGTGGCACTGAAAGTGAGCACTTGAGGAAAGAAGGGAAGGAAAAGAAGCCACTGGGACAACTTAAAATGGCACTGATGCTGTGAGCACAATTTTTGTTCCATCCATTAAAAATGAAACTTCTACAAAGGTACTGACATCTAAGAAATGTTCTATGATGCTTCTTTCTTTTTTTTAAACCCCTGTCTTCTTCTAGGAGTAGCTGTGGTGCTGATCTGGACCGTGGTCTGGTCTATTACAGGACAAGAGTGTCTTCCTGGTGGGAACCTCTTTGCAATTTTGTTCCTCTTCTTTTTTGCTGTCATTGGTGGTAAATTGATGGGGCTGATTAAATTACCAGGCCTGCCTCCACTTCCTCCTCTTCTTGGTAAGTATCTCAATGTCAGATGGGTGCATAACTTCGTATCATGACATAGACGGCTTTTTGAAAGAAGGGAGTTCTTCCATGGTCTGATTATGACCCACTGGCTAAAATTAGAGCTGTAAATATTTGATGGGTTAATAAAATTTTAGTAATCAACTAAATTTTAGTTGATTAACTGACGAGAGACCATTTTCATTACAGCATTTACTTCCTGGCCAGCATATTAAAGGCATACATATCTTGGGAGTTAAACTCTGTATCTTCCTATAACAGCAAATAAAAAAATATTTAAAGAAAGCTACAGTTCAGTCCTAAGCAGAGTTATAGCCTTCTTGCTTCAGTGGATTTTGAAAGGTATAACTCTGCTTCAGGTTGAACATTGTCTCTTAAGCATGAACGGTAGCTATTTCGTATTAAGCTTAGTTTACAGAGATCTTTCAATGTCTTAAGAAAAGCACTGCATATTGAGGCTCTGCGAATCTGCAGATATGTCTAAGCTTTATTAACTGGTTGATTAAAAGACAGATGGTTTATCAGCTAGAAATTCTTGAGCAGATTGACAGCTAAAACATCCCCTTCCCAAGAGACCCAAGCAGATCAGGCTGTGTTTGTGACATATATATTTATGTTATTTTCTTACTTATAGAATGTATATCCTACATTTCTGCCCTCATCAGGGCCACCTAGGCAGCTTATTCAGAAGGATAACCATATTAGTCTCCTGTAGCAAACAACAGAAATCAAGTGGTACCTTTAATACTAACCAAGCTTATGCCAGCATATGCATTTGTGAGTCAAGTCTCACTTTTTCAGGTGCATATGAAATGGAAATTTTATACAGAACATTTATAACGAAATGACAGGAGTGGGGAAGGGAGGTAAGTTGTGGCAGAGAAATGCCTCTTGTAAAATCTTTCAGATGTGAATCCCTGCATGAAATATTGGAAGGGATGTGGGTGTTGACGCTTCACGAATGATGAGAAAGGTTGCAGCTTCAAACCTCTCATGGGGTTTAGTTACAGAGAGGCACACAAGGTCACCAAACAAAGTCTGATCCAGGAAGGTTCAGTGTGAAGCATAAGAAAAGGAATACAGAGTGATAGAGCATAATAGTATGAACGTAACATGATAAGAAGGACAAGTCAACATCTGTAAAGGGAGGGTTATTATTCTTTGTCTATCTCTTATTTTATTTTCTTAAAGGTGCACGCTCCGCCCTTCCTCCATTCAAGGCTGCTGACAACCAAACAATTTGCTTTGCATACAGTTTGTAGGTTGCTCTGTTGATCTGCAGGAAAACCACAAAAGCAACAGCTGGGGCAATCAAAATATCTCAAAACATGATGTGATCTTTCAAGTTTTTCACAGCTCTTTGTCAGGCAGGATTCTCCATTTTTAAACAGCCAATGTACAAATTGGGGCAAAGAGGTAAGGGGAAAAAATGAATTGTTTCTGGGCATGGTGAATCTGCAAAACATTCTGTGTCACATTTGACAGTTACAGGCTGTGGATTTCAGGCTTTTCCTCTGTGCCCTAAAATAATGTATTTTCTCTTCTGTGTCTCTTCCCTCTCCCAACATCCTTGCTTGATGAAGAGTCCTGGAGAACTCAAAAGCCTGCATACTGTTTTGTGATATTTTGGTTGGTCCTCATAGAAAGTAGTAGGTGGACCCATAAAACAAAGAAAGGGGTCACACAAACACTCGTGAAGCTGCCATATGCTGAATTGGTCTATCAAGGTCAATATTGTCTACTCAGATTGGCAGCAGCTCTCCAGCTGTGGAGCCCTGTGAGCAAAAATTCTACTTTGTGAGCTACTGGCATTAAAGTTGTGAGCGAGCAGTTTGGCTACTGCATAAATGAGTCTGCTCTGGAGCCATCCTTCCTGAGCGAAGACGAAAATGTGTGAGCTGGAGGCTAAAAAACTGTGAGCTAGCTCACACTAACTCAGCTTAGAGGGAACATTGGTCCCAGGATATCATCATAATTATAGTGCTTGAGAGTGTCCACTCAGTAGTCACTATGTCCAGCCTCTTGGGCTGAAGTCTGTTTATCCCTTCCACAGCCAGACCAGAATGCAAATTCCTATACAGATTCTTACTTTCACATAGAAAGCCAGAATGGAGTAATGGACATATCTTTCCAAACAAACTTGCCAAGCTCAGGGCACCACTAAAAGATTCAGAGGTCTACTTGGCATCTTTAGAGACAAGCTTGATGCGAAGAAAGGCTTTACCTCAGGAAGTGACTCCCAAGGATATGCTGCATACTCTTGCTCAAGCCAAGGAAGAGTGCTGAGTTTCTGCAGGGGACGTTTCCATCTGGCTTTTGTATGGAGGGACCAGAACCTGATGGGACTACTCTGTTACACTTGAAGTGCTGGTTACAGCCTGATAAAGTAGTGGTCATCTTTGAGGAAATATAGTAGCAGATTTATTTGGAAGCCCTATGGAGAAGCAGGAGACTGAAGAAGAGTCTGCAGCCAGAGAATGGTGACATGCCAGTGCTTCATTAACTTGTTGTTCAGTCGCACAGTCGAGTCCGACTCTTCGCAACCACATGGACCAGATCCCGCCAGGCCTTCGTTAACTAGGCCTCAATTTTTTCCTCTCCATTGTTCTTCTCTTACAGCAGCTGTTCCAGGGTGAAGTGTCCCAGAATTAAAGTTGGTCATGCATAATTTACTGAGACACAAATTGAGCAGAAAGACAGTGGTTGCTGCTTTGGCTAATACGATGATGATAAAAGGTAGTCTTACCTTTAGCTGTTGCCGTTTTACCGTAAACAAGGACAGGAAAATTAGCCACATTACCTGAAAAATGGTGCCAGCCTAAAAATTTAAAAGCACTTGTCAGCAGAGTACAAACTCAGCACACAAGTACCCTGTGAAAAAGACCATCTTGCACAGGCTGTAAGAAAATGGCAGTGAAGGAGCCTTTCGTATCTCTTCAGGAAGCCTCCAGTATAGGTTATCCCAGGCAAAACTGTAGTCAGGATGAAAATAAAACAGGAGCCCAATGAATGGTACTTTAGAGACTAAGGCTCATTTCGCACTAGAGCTGCCTCGCTGTTGCGCCGCCGTTTGCCCCGGTTCTATTGGTCAATTTCACACCCGAAGCTGCGTGGCTGATTTTGACCTGTGGCTTCGCCCAATTTCCTCTGCAGTTTCGTTGATCCTCAAAAAACAGGATCATGAAACTGCGGGGGAAATCGGGCGAAGCCGTGGGTCAAAATCAGCCACGCAGCTTCAAGTGTGAAATTGACCAATAGAACTGGGGCAAATGGCGGCGCAACAGCGAGGCAGCTGTAGTGCGAAATCAGCCTAAGAGAATTTATTCCAAGGGATCAGGGGAGTCCTTGAGATCTATTAGTACCCCAGGGAGGGTCCCAAATGAATGAAGAAAACAGCACAATTGAGATTTGCAAGTTATTCAGTTTATTAGATGGTGACCTTGTTACAAGTATGGCAGTACCCTCCAGTTTGTTCAAACATGCTGTTAGTGACTTATGCCGGCCTGATGCAGTATCCTAATAAGTGCATCATGAAAATTACATCATTGTCCTCTGTCTTCTCACAAATCTACTCTGTGCCTTAATTGCTCTCTTTCCTTCTCTCTTGATGCATGCTGTTGCCTCTGGGTTTTATATTGGACTCACACCCCTCAGTCTAAGCAAAGCACTCCCCCCACACAAACCGAATTTTCTTGGGGCCCTTCTAGGCCACTCTTGGCATTCCTCCATGGCTTGAAAGTCCAGGTTGAGGCGTCCTTCATATCATGATACTTCCCCTGCAGGTACAACCTTATCTTGTACTTCTGTTCTTCATATCATAAACATTTCAGTGGTACTACTCCAAGCTAGTCCATCAACAGACTGTCAGCTTGTTTTGAGAACTGACTCAAAGTTCATACCAGCTTCTTTCTGCTGTGTTATTTTGCACTGGGGTTGGGGTTTTTTGGCATTGCTTTTCCAGTGACAAAATGGGTCCACTCTAGTTCAGGTTTAGAACACCTTCTGCTGGTGTCTCTGACTTCTCTACATATATAGCCATCAAGGTGCTTTTCTCTATTTCTTTTAGGAATGTTGCTTGTAGGATTTCTCCTTCGAAATATCCCCTCCGTCAGTGACCTAATCCAGATAGAGGTGAAGTGGTCAGCTGCCCTAAGAAGTATTGCCCTCGCTATTATCCTGGCCCGTGCTGGCCTTGGTCTTGACCCAGAGGTACAGTATCAAATGGTCCTTGCTTCACCACTGCAAAACATTTCTACTAGGGCAGAGAATTCTCAGATGGATTAAACACAGGGCTAGTTCTCACCCATTCTAAAGCCATGTCTGAGCTGTACCACATCAGATTACAGATGGAGATGCTATAATTTAATGAACAACTCCTCATCTCTCTGCAAAAACTGTACATTACAAAGCTAGCATGTTGGGAGTAAAGTGAGGCTAGAACCCATATCCATGCAGTGGTGGGCTACGTTATGCACAGGATTTCGATATTTATTTATTTACTTTATAGCCTGACCTTCTTGCTGAGACTCAAGGTGCAGTATACACAGTGCAGTCAAATACAGTGAGACATCCAACAGACAGTTCAATAAAATTAGGATCACAAAATCAGAAACAATGCAGTTTGGAGAGATACAACCCAGAGCTGGTCCTTGTACCCTTTGCTTGAAGAAAGTAACTGCTCTGTGTATGGAAGCCTGTCTCCATATGCGGAACTGATTTTCTGGAATTATGGTCTTTAGTCTCACTGGAGTTCTTTCATTCGAACTATTTCTGAGCCAGGTTCAGAAGGCAGTATTTCTGAGCCATAGTGGGACATCATCCATTCCAGCACCGTTTCAAAGCCCATATGCTTATTGGATAAAGTTCAGGCTATAATTCTCTATCTCTTCCTTGCCTCCACCCCCATCATGTGGAACATTTGCTAAATCCTGCGAAAGCACTGAGATGAATCCAGCATATAAACCAAATTTACGTCTATTGGATCCAAGCATCTGTACCCTGTTAGGAAAGCTGAGCAGAGTCCAGTAAATCCTTGAGGGTATTCTGTTACCTGGCACTAAAAAAAACAAGTGTTTCTTAAAGTGGCTTATCTTGCAGGCTCTGAAAAAATTAAAGGCGGTCTGTATACGACTGAGCTTTGGGCCTTGTGTCACTGAAGCATGTATAGCAGCGGTCGTGTCTCACTTTCTGATGCACCTGCCATGGACGTGGGGATTCCTTTTAGGGTAAGAGGTACCACTGCTTTCTCTTACTTGCTTGCTTATGAACTGCATTTCTGTTCCTCTCACTTAGGTTGCCTTTCCCCTTTTAATTAATACTGTCACACAAAAGTGCGCGCACTGCAATATTTCGTATTGTTTAGCTGTTGATTTTTGTTTCCCTCCATGAGTGCATTGTTAAAATGTAGCAGACAAAACCCAATTGCTGTGCACGCTGTGTTTTCCTGTTCACAGGAAAGACACAATGCCCTTAAAAAGAAAATTGCGCACCAGGAGGACCAGTGTTCCCTCTAAGCTGAGTTAGTGTGAGCCAGCTCACAGTTTTTCAGCCTCCGGCGAACACATTTTTGTCTTAGCTCAAAAAGCATGGCTCCAGAGCAAACTTATTTATGCAGTAGCCAAATCACTCGCTCACAACTTTAATGCCAGTAGCTCACAAAGTAGGATTCTTGCTCAGAAGACTTTGGAGCTTAGAGGGAGCTTTGACCAGGACTGTTACTGGGGGGTGGGGGCATTCCATTGATGAACTGATGTCTGATGCTGCATTCTCTCAGATTTGTTCTAGGGGCTGTTTCCCCTGCTGTTGTGGTTCCCTCCATGCTGATCTTGCAAGCAGGAGGCTACGGTGTGGACAAGGGCGTCCCAACATTGCTTATGGCTGCTGGCAGCTTTGATGACATCTTGGCCATCACAGGTTTCAACACCTGCTTAGGGATCGCTTTCTCCACAGGTGTGCTTATTACTCCTTCAACCTGATGAGACACGTTGTAGACTTTTCTCTGTTGTATGCTAGTTGATGACATGCAGGAAGTCAACGATGATGTGGGAAAGGATTCAAAAATATGGCCCTCTGGATCTGTAGTCTGGTCTGCACGATGGGTTAAACTCCAAGGAGGCTGCTAGGAGGCTCATCCCACCTCGCCATCAAGGAGTTAAAGCAGAAGACCATTTTTGTCCTTTTTAAGTTGTAGTTTGGCAACAACCGCTTTGGCTCATTATTGGACAATATTTTGGATGTATTTCCTGGTTAGGGGGGAAAAACCTGTAGGCTAATGAAGCATTAGTAGAAAGACTGTCTGGAAATCCATTTTCATCCTCTTCTCCTGATATGTTCAAACAGGCTCCACCCTTTTCAGTGTCCTCCGTGGTTTCTTGGAGGTTGCAATTGGAGTAGCAGCTGGTGGCTTTCTAGGAATTTTTGTACGGTACTTTCCAAGCAAGGATCAGGTAAAGAAGCTATATTATGAGAAGTATTTCTTAAGTATGCAGAGTGAGGCATGGTGAATCTGAAACTCTAGCATGATCTTGACTGAAAAATGAAAATATAATCCAGCTCTCTAGAGAGTGTCAGAATAATTTTTCAGTACATTAATTTGCAAGGATATGAAGCCATCGCATTTCATTATCTTCTGTGGTGTGGCATTTATGAAGATCACTGTCTCCCCGCCCCGCCTTCCTTTATAGCCCTTCAAGCTTTAGGTGTTTTAGTTGTAGAAGAGGAAATATATTGACTTCACAGCAGTATTAAAGATTGAGGTCCATTTTTGGTTGTGACAGTTGTTTTAGAGATTGGTTTGTAAGGGTCAGAATTAACAAAGATATGTTAATACCGAGATCCTCTCAAGAGTGTTATACAAGTAGTCTTTGTTTTCTAGATTTATTGGAATGTATTTTGGCCATCGTTTTGATGTCAGAAGCATGCAGTGCTGAGAATACTGCATATTGAAAAAGACAGACTCTTTTCTTGGGAGGCCTGAAAAGGACGGGATGATGGGGAGGAAGGCTGTGTTCATCTAGGTCAGTTCCCCAACTGCATTTGCTAAATTCACCTCACAAGATTGTTTCCATTTACCGGCACGTAAATGCAAGGGTACTTCCTACCTAGACTTCTCCTGCCAGCTTGCAGCCCAGTCAGAAAGCTGGGGAAGAAAGTCGCTAATTGTCCCTCCTTTCTGATAGCATACCACCACCAGTGTTCCCTCTAAGCAGAGTTAGTGTGAGCTAGCTCACAGTTTTTTAGCCTCCAGCTCGCACCTTTTTCTCTTAGCTCAGGAAAGATGGCTCCAGAGCAAACTAATCTATGCAGCAGCCAAATTGCTCACTCACAACTTTAATGCCAGTAGCTCACAAAGTAGAATTTCTGCTCACAAAACTCCACAGCTTAGAGGGAGCAATGACCACCACCTTGGGTAAGATCCACCCCTCGCGGTCTCTTAATGTTGCCCAAGATTGACAATACAGGGGTGTATTTCGTTAGCATGCCAAGTGGCAAAGCAGTGAGTAAGGAAGTATGCAGACTCTTTAGTTACAGCTCTGTTACTACAAGGCACAAACTCAGGATAGCTACAAGCAATGTTCCCTCTAATTTTTCCCCCTACTGAGTGGGGCAGTTTGGTGGGGCTTATCCATGCAGTAGGGTTTATAACGGCAGATGTGATCCCTAAATATTCTGGTACCCGGGAATGGAGGATTTCCAAAGTAGGAGTTGAAACCTTAACATGCAGCTAGTAGCTTAATGGTAACCAATGGACTTATTTCAGCACTGGAATAATAGTTCTCACCATCACATTCAAGTCAACATCCGGGCTGTTGCATCTTGAACCATGTAAGTAGTATTCGAGGGCAAGCACATGTTCGTAGTCCATACAGATTTTATAATGGCACAGTGATTCCATCATTTCAGGGTAATGTTAAAATATAGTCATTTTGTTTGTTTTTTAAAGCTTCAGTAATACTTTTTTATTTTCTTCTCTGGTCCTAGGCATCAGTTGTATGGAAGAGAGCATTCTTTCTGGTAGGCCTGTCTGTGTTTGCTATTTTTAGCACTGTAAACTTGGGCTTCCCTGGATCTGGAGGGCTCTGCACCATTGTCTTGGCATTCCAAAACATTCCTGGCTGGTCTTTCATGGTCTAATGAGAAGGTGAGTGTTCAATCAGCGTGCAGCTGAGACGTCACTTTGGTTCTGAAGAACCAAGTAGGGTGAAATAGATTTAAGTGCCAGCAGAATTGCTGTACAGTAGTACCAGTCGTTTTAGGCTGCTTTCACACATGTTGAATAATGCCCTTTCTGTGCAGTTTTGCAAATGATTGCAAAAGTGCATTGAAAATGCATCATCCCACATGTGTGAAAGGAGCTTAAGAACCAGCTGCCCTGATCTGGCACAGGAGATCCATGTACGGAAGCAGACTTTGGCACATGCACAACTGATGGAGATTGGGGTCGTCTGCACTGTGGTTTCCATTCTGGTGCCATTGAATTAGCCGATGAAAATCTACATCTGATGAAGATGTGAATCCACATTGAGGGTCATGCTTTAAGTGTACAATTTGATTGGGACCAGTGAGTTGTGGTAAGCAGGCTGAAAGCGGGGTAAATACACAGTTATGTATTTGAACAACATATCAAAACGGAGGCCTGTATCGAAATATATTAAGAAGATGTAAGGGCACTTCCGTTTTCTTTAAAGGAGGGTGGCAATTTCTACCAGTTCCTGAATCAGACTCCAGCTGATCCCCAGGAACAAAATTTCAGGGGGCTCAGTGGATTGCCACAGGAGAGGGAATCAGCAGAACTCTCCATTCCTTTTATGAAAACTGAGTGACACAAACCTGCCTGACCGCGTGGTTGGATACAGCCCGTTTTTTAAAAAATGGTTTCAACTCTTCTAGCTTTTCTTGTATAAAAAGAATGACAGCCTTGCTCTCTCAGCCTGACCTGCTTCACAACTCCGTGAAGATAAAATGTGGGATGGCAGAAATAAAGAACATCAGCTTGGGCTTCTTGAAGGAATAGAATAGTATATAAAAAAGAAAGCCATCACAATTCCTTTAGGCTTTGGACTATTTGAAAGATATTGATGCCTTTTGCGTCACAGAAGAATGAGGTTTCTGATGGCAAGTGAGCCATATTTTGATTGAACTGAGTAATATCTAAATTCATGTACGCTGCCTTGAAATTGATTGGTTTTTACACAGGCCATGGAGTGTTCCCATCATGGGATGGCAAGTGAGCCATATTTTGATTGAACCGAGTAATATCTAAATTCATGTATGCTGCCTTGAAATGGATTGGTTTTTACACAGGCCATGGAGTCTTTCCATCATGAGGGCAAAGACTCAAGTGAGCAACAGGCAAGCATAGTTTGTAACACTGCGCATTTTTGCTCTTTGTCCTGCAGAAAGAGGTAGAAAAGATTATTGGAGTTGCCTGGGAGATTTTTCAACCTTTTCTTTTTGGTTTAATTGGAGCTGAAATATCTGTCTTCTCTCTCAAACCGGAAACGGTTGGTAAGTTTCCTTACAAAACATTAGAGGTGATTCAAACTGTGGCTGACTTTTTCCCCCCTGAGGTGTACCAGTGAAGTGTTTTTTTCGGGCCATGTGTTTCCTAAGACCAAAGGGAGAAAGGAATTAACGTATATAGAACTCAAAGGGCTTTACACACATTTATTGTGTTGTAATCTATGCAACAACCCTGGAAGGTGGTCAGTATTATTGCCAAATTCAGATGGTGGTCTGATACTGAGAGTTCAAGATGGGTAGCCATGTCAGTCTGTCTGTAGCAGTAGAAAAGAGTAAGAGTCCAGTAGCACCTTAGAGACAAACAAAACTGGTGGTACGGTGTGAGCTTTCGTGAGTCACTGCTCACTTCTTCAGATACTGAGAGTGACTTCTTAGGGTTGATGCAATGAAGGATAATAAGAACTATCTTGAGCCAAGAGGAAAGGTAGGCTATACATATTTTAACTAATAAATATTGCCACCGAAGTTCAGAGCCTGTTTGCGGGGAGGGCGGGGTATACATTGAATTAATTAAATAAATAAATGAAATAAATAGAGGGTTACTCTTGATTATTCAGGATTTAGTTGCAAAAAATATGTATATTTCAGGATATACATTTAGAAATAAGTATCAGTATGTAACTAAGTGTAAGTAACCTGAATAGCCCAGCTTACCCTGATCTTATCAGATCTTGGAAGCTAAGCAAGATCTACTCTGGCTTGTACTTGGATGGGAGACCACTAAAGAACACGGTGGCTTCTATGCAGAGGAAGTCGATGGCAAATTACCTCTGCTCATTCCTTGCCTTGAAAACCTCATGGACCTGGGGTCACCCTGAGCCGGTTGCAACTCGATGGCACACTGGTATTGTTATTATCATGTGTAACCAAATAAACTTCTGGTTCCTTAAACAAGTAGCTTACACCAGTGAGGTTCTCTTTTGCAAAATTGGTTTATGGCACACTTGCTGTGTCTGAATAATATCTGTTGAGAAGGGGTGGCTTATGCATGGGGGGGACACCTTTGTTTGCTCTGCCAATGAGAAGGGGTGGCTTATGCATGGGGGGGGGGACACACCTTTGTTTGCTCTGCCGAATGACAGAAAGTCTGGGAATGCGTTTTTGGTAGCTGTTAACAAAGTATATTTCTCCACGGCAGGACTCTGTGTAGCCACACTAAGCATTGCGTTAGTGGTACGAATTGCTGTCACATTCCTGGTGGTATCTTTTGCTGGCTTTGAGTTGAAGGAGAAAATATTTATTTCACTGGCATGGATCCCCAAAGCAACTGTTCAGGTAGAGTATGCTTTTCCAGAAGGCCAGTGTCTTCTGCAACCAAGTGGTTTCTTATATACCATTGTACAGACATCGGTGAAAGGGGACAGTACATTGACTGTTGCAAGGAATTTGGGGGCAGGGGGGTAAGGAATTCCCATATTTTAGCTTGTGCTCCTTTTCTCATCACTTCTTTGTTACAAAGCAATAGAAAACCAGTTGCCCAGCAGAGGCATAATACTCTTAACCTCTTAACCAGGGTTGGGAGTTCAGGGTAGGACTGCAGGATCGTGTGTTTCTTGCTTTTCCCCTCCTGTGCCAGGCAGATTGTCTTACAGCCCCAGCTTGCAAACCCACTTCAAACTCTGTTTCAACTGCTCATTATGAGAGCAGTCCTGGTTTAGCATTAACCATAGACAGAACTGATGTGGACATACTACATGACACACTGCCATTCTCGTAACCATGGTTAGGACATTTGTGTGCACTGGACCAGTGAGTGGAATCAAGGCAGTCATTGTGTTGCAGAAGGACCAGAACGCTTGGCCTTTCTCAACAGAGGAGTCGCTTCCCAGGGAGCAGCAAAGGAGATCAAGTTTGAATATCCCAAATATGGACAGATGGGATTTTTCTCAAGAGGGAGAACAAAAGAGGCACAGTGTGGGTATCTGGTGTATTTTTCTTTTGCCCTGCCACAAGAATACATGAAGCTGCCTTATACTAAATTGGAACATTAATCCATCAAAGCCAAGGTTGTCTACTCAGACTGGCAGGAGCTCTCCAGGGTCTCGGATGGAGGTCTTTTTACATAATTTACAACCTAATCCAAGTTGGAGATACCAGGGTCTGAATGTGCAACCTTCTGCATGCAAAACAGATGCTCTGCCATCCAGCCATGCTTGCATCGGCTGGATCTCAGCTTGATTTTTTGCCTACTGGACCACATCATCTTCTTAAGAGATTTGTCAGTCAAAGCAAACAGTCATGAGGCTCCATGGAAGCTGTATGAAATGTAGTTGTATTATTGGTCAGCAGTGCATGTCATTGGGGAGGTCAAAGGGGCTTCGCTAGCCTGTATTGAAGGGGCAGGAGGAGGAGAAAGGTGCACATCAGGATACAAAGATCTACCTTTTGTTGTTGTTAAAACATTTTACATTGTAGGAACTTCTGTTTTAGATACTACAAGGTATTAAAAAAACCAAACAGTATGAGAAGTCAAAACCCCCTTTTAGTGCCCTTGGCACCCATAAGTAATGCAAGGATCTGTTTAATTTGTATATACCAGTAATTACTCAGTGTATAAAACAGGCTAGTTACATAGATACACCTGAGAAGTAAATCAAATCAAAAACACCTTGCATCTGCTGGATCTCAGCTTGATTTTTTGCCTACTGGACCACACCATCTTCTTAAGAGATTTGTCAGTCGAGGCAAACAGTCATGAGGCTCCGTGGAAGCTGTATGAAATGTAGTTGTATTATTGGTCAGCAGTGCATGTCATTGGAGAGGTTCGCCAGCCTGTATTGAAGTGGCAGGAGGAGGAGAAAGGTGCACATCAGGATACAAAGATCTACCTTTTGTTGTTGTTAAAACATTTTACATTGTAGGAACTTCTGTTTTAGATACTACAAGGTATTAAAAAAACCAAACAAACAGTATGAGAGGTCAAAACCCACTTTTAGTGCCCTTGGCACCCATAAGTAATGCAAGGATCTGTTTAATTTGTATATACCAGTAATTACTCAGTGTATAAAACAGGCTAGTTACATAGATACACCTGAGAAGTAAATCAAATCAAATGACAACTTCCCTAACATTGACTCCAAGTGTCAAATACTAATCTATTTTAAGTTTCTGTTCCATGTTTCTTCTTAGAAAAACCAAAGGGTAGTGGCAAAGGTCAGATTACCTTTAGTTGATGAGCCAAGAGTATTGTTCCTCCCATACAGTTCCATTTAGGGCTACCTGCTCAAATAAGGCCAATTCTCTCTCTCCCGATCCCTCTCTCACACACCCAAACCCACCCACCCAAAGGAATCCTCTGTAATACATGGAGGCTGGACTTTTGGAAGGGGCAGCAAGGCCCAGGAGAGTTACAATAAATATTATAATATTTAATGTAAACTGCTTGTATGATTTTTTAAATCCTGTATCGGTTTCAGTCCTTGTACACCAAGTGGTAGGCTTTTCACTGTCTCTAAAAAGTGCCTGGGCTCCACCTTTTGGGGGGCTTTCACACAAAAAGAATACTGTAGTCAGGGAAGGAGCTGGTCAAATGCTGACTATGGGTTACCTGGTTAAGAGGATGTTGTTGACATGAGGCATTCTGTAAGGTCACGGGCAGCAGCTGATTCTCAACACAAGCCATAATTAAACTGAGTCAGTGCTAAAGAACTGTGCACACTTGACTCACTCCAGTGTGAGCATGAAAGTCACTAAAACTTCCCCTTACTCACCTTGTGATCTCATTCCCTTGGGCCTGGGATTTGGCTTCTGTGCAGAAGGGGACACTGCACCTTCGGTCAGATAAAGAAGTGCCCTATCCCACAAACACTAACCTAGGGAGGCTCTGAATTGGACAATTTAAAAAAATCTGATTTATTAACGATGGCTTGAATCCAACCACTGTTTCTTTCTCAAGAGGTGGGGTGAGATTTCTGTCCAATTTCCCTTCTTCCACTGCAGCCCCACATTGTGTCCAGTGTTTTTCCCAGGTACCCCTTAAACCCCATGCCCAGCATTTCAGGGGTCTCAGTGGATCATAGCAGAAAAGGTAAGCAAGGAAATTTCCTTTCACAAACTCCACCCATGGCTCTCATTGGATATTGCCAGCCAATGGTTTTTATTGTTTCTTTGTTTTCTCACAGGCCGCAATTGGCTCAGTTGCCTTAGATACAGCACGAACTCATCAAGAGGAAACATTAGAACAATATGGCATGGATGTTTTGACAGTGGCTTTCTTAGCGATCCTGATCACGGCACCAATTGGAGCTCTGATAATTGGCCTGGCAGGGCCCAGGCTTCTCCACAAGGCTGATGCTGGCAGTGACGATGTTGGGCGTGATAGAACAGAAGAAATTGACATATCTGGACGGGTATAGGGTGGGGACAGTGAATAGCCCAGAGATGACCCAGTTGGTATTTCAGGGTGTCTAGGAACCACAGTGGCCTGTAGAAGTCTGAACGTAAAAGAGCCCTGCTGGATCAGACCAGTGGTCCATCTAGTCCAGCATCCTATTTCACACAGTGGCCAACCATTTGCTCTGGAGGACCAGCCAAATGGGCATAAAGGCCAAGGTTGTTCCCTGATGGTACCCTCCTGGCACTGGGATTCAGAGGGCCTGTGGAATGTAGTTGAGACATTGCTAAAGCCTCAGGGCAAGTAACCTGTAGAAAAGTAAGATGATATTCACAAGCAAAATTAATGTTATGGTCTTAGCCTTGGCAGGTGCCATGTTTCTGTGACCTGATCTGAAGACTTGGGTGCCAGCAAGAGAGAAGGAAGCATTCAAGATGAGGGATAACTGCAAACTAATAAAAGTCTTGGGGCAGGGGTGGGAAAAAACCCCAACCACCACAGGACCAGTGCCCAGCCTAAATAAGCAAAGAGGGGAATTTGCAGCCGTTTAAATCCCCCCCCCAAACATATAGTAAAAGCTCTACATTGACAATTGCAGACACAGTATGTCCAAAAACAACCTTGCACTTTGGAGTCTACTGTTCCTTTTCCTACTCACAACTTGGAAACAGAAGAAAAAGGACAGCAAAGCAAGAAGTATTGTGGTGGTTGAATGGGAATTTCATGCACGAAGCTGACAAAAACCCCTCAGAGTTTGTTTCCTGACTGTCCTGAAACTATTGAAGAGTCTTGTTCCCCCTACATATTATAAAAACACAAGCAGAAGACAAGTAGTATCAGAGCTGGCTCTGTGGCTGTGAGCATGGTGGTTAAAACTCCCAAGAAGTATATTGCAGGGAGTTAAAACTCCCAAGTAGTATATTGCAAATGAAGTTTAAATTTATTCAAGGAGATTCAGTTCACATTCAGCTTGCAATCAAAAGTAGAGAGAGAAGCTTTATCTAAAGAATACTATCCTTATCATAAGTGGACAGATAAGCCAGCGCCATGTATGTGGAAGAATGAGGGCATTAGTTTCTACAGGAGAAACTTGTAGAGACGTGTGTCTCCATAAGGATCCATGTAGAGGAGGTAGAACATAAGAAGAGCTCTGCTCGATCAGACCAATAGTCAAGCTAGTCCAGCATCCTGTCTCACACAGTGGCCAACCAGGTCCTCTGGATGGCCAACCATAGGGCATAGAGGCCGAGGCCTTCCCCTGATGTTGCCTTCTGGTTCTGGGATTCAGAGGATTAGTGCCTATGAATGTGGAGGTTCTCCTCAGTCACCATGGCTAGTAGGCACTGGTAGACCTCTCCTCCATTAATCTATCTAATCCCCTTTTAAAGCTATTTATTCCTGTGGCCATCACTGCATCCTCTGGCAGTGAATTCCATATTTTAATCATATTCTCGGTGGGGGACTTCCATTTTATGCTGCTTCCAGAAAGCCAAAGGTGAAATCTGATACCAGCACCTTTTAAAATCTCTCTTCCTGCTCAGCATTTCACAGAGGATGCTTGCAGGTAAAGGCCTTAAAAATCCTGGCCTAAAACATCTTTTCTTTCCTCCTCACCTTAAAAAACAAACAAACGACAACATCCAGTCCAATGAAGAGCCTGTTTTCTGTCATTTTGGTCAGTCCTAATGAAAAGGTATTACATGGCCTTTGTTTTTAGATTTTGATCTGGACCATCATAGCTACCTGCAACCTCTCTTCATTCTTTGACTGTGCTTGTTGAGAGAATTATGACAGAACAGGAGCTAAACAGGCTGCACTCTGCTCAGTCCATTTTTTTGCCGTAAAGTCACAGCCAACTTATGGGTTTTCAAAGCAAGAGGCATTCAGAGGTGATTTGCCGTTGCCTGCCTTTGCATAGCAACCCCGGTATTCCTTGGTGGTCTCCCATCCAACTACTAACCAGGGCTGACCCCTGCTTAGCTTCTGAGATCTCGCTAGCCTGGACTATCCAGGTCAGGGTAATAGCAGCGAACAGCAGTGCCTTTCTCTGGTGCCAGGACACCAGTAACTCAGAAGATTTAAAGAAGCCCTGCACTCATATGTTCCTCCAGCAGTAAACTAGATCTCCTCTTCCATCTATTCTACATGGCCCAAAGTCAGCTGCTGGCGTGAGCAACTCAGCAGGCCTGGACATGAGGTGGTGGGGGGGAACACACTGTCACTCTAAATGTGTATAAGTGTTATCTCCTTGAATGGGATCCCTCTCTTTGTTCTTAACCTGGGAGCTGCCTTCTGACCCCTCCTCTCTCTCAGCGCCCTTTATTCTTAATATGAAAACCAGCAGCTGATCAGTGCTCCTCTTAACATCACGTGAAACAGATCCCTTAAGAGGCCGCGAGCCACGGAATGGAAACTGAATGGGAAAGAAAACATTAGTGTTGGTGGTCACATTTGCTCTGTTCTTTTCTTTGGCTTTTTTGACCCGAACACCCTGCTCTATGATTCTGTTTGTCCCACTTGTTTCCCTTGGCACATGTGAATCGGTCATGGGAAGGTGGAGCCTGTGATTTTTGTGATGGAAGACTCTGCCTGAATATAGCAAAATATTCTCTGGAGGCCAGACGAGGAGAAGCTGATTGCTTTGCAACAGTCACGGCTTGCATCATTTCATAACATGAAAGTCACCAGGTTTATCCTAGTTAGTTACTGAGTGCTAATACTCCTCACACTGATGGTCTCTCTGCACAAAGCAGTTTATCGTGCAAACAAGTGTGCGTCTGTTTCTTCTTTACTGCTTCTGGTCTTAAGGTTCCCCTTTTGTGGCATCTTCCAAGCACTAAAAGGGATTTGTTTTCACAGGTACAGAATAGATATTCATTCCAGATAACTTATTCATGATTGCTGCCTGTGATATAGTTACACAAATATCACAGGTGCCCTGACCTGGATGGCCCGGGCTAGCCCAATCTCATCAGACCTCAGCAGCTAAGCAGGGTTGTCCCAGGTTAGTACTGGGACCAGGGCTCTTTTTGTAGAAAAAGCCCAGCAGGAACTCATTAGCATAATAGGCCACACCCAACAGCAGGAACTTATTAGCATATGAGTCCACACCCCTGACAGCACAGCTCATTACCACATTAGGCCACACCCCCATGTTACCAGAAGTGTGGTTATCCAGCCACACCCACCTTTTGCTTGTTATTCTGTTTACCTTGTTTGTTGTCCAAACCCAGGGCTTTTTTGTAGCATGAACTCCTTTGCATGTTAGGCCACACACCCCTAATGTAGCCAATCCTAATGAGTTTCTGCTCTTGGGTGTGACCTATTATGCTAATGAGTTCCTGCTGGGCGTGGTCAACTTGGGAGCCAGCCGGAACTCCGTTCCTGCCCAAAAATAGCCCTGGATGGGACACATCCAAGGAAGTCCAGAGTTGTTATGCAAAGGCAGGCAGTGGCAAACCATCTCTGTTCCTTGCCTTGAAAATGCCATAAGTCATCTGGGACTTGATGGCACTTTCCAGCCCCAATATTAAAAGTAAAGGTAAAGGTTCCCTTGCTCAAAAGCCAGTCAAATCCGACTCTAGGGTTGCGGTGCTCATCTCCGTTTCAAGCCGAAGACGTTTCCGTGGTCATGTGGCCGGCATGACTAAACACCAAGGCGCACGGAACGTTGTTACCTTCCCACCGAAGTGGTACCTATTTATCTACTTGCAGTTTCTTGCTTTCGAACTGCTAGGTTGGCAGGAGCTGGAACTAGAGACGGGAGCTCACTCCGTCATGCAGCACCCAATATTACAGGCACCTGTTTGTTATTTTTTTTGTGGGTGAGTGACATAATTACCAATGACCGACACTTGATGCACTCCATCCTGTAAGATACCCACACCTCTGTTCTGGGTACACTGTGAACTTTCTGTTGTGTTCATGTATTCTACACCCAGTGTTTCTTCAGCTCACCTCCACACAAAGCAATGCACTACTAATTTTTGAATATATTTTAGGTTTTATTTTCATTTGTTCATCCAAGGACGGTGTGCTTCCCTCTTCTGTAGTGGAACGCACTCCAGAATACAGCACTATTGTCACTGAAAAGAGATTCACTGGAATATTGCAAAGTTAAATGCTATGGGGGGGGGGACACTGAATGATTGTGAGCCAATATGATACAGCAGTTAATGCACTGGTCTTTGACTAGAAAGCCCTGGGTTCAAATCACTCTAATGTACAATCCACTGAATGACTTTGGGCTAGCAATGTACTCTCAGCCTAATGTATCTCACAAGATGGTTGTGAAGATAAAATGATATGACTCCATGAATTCTAGCCTGAATGCTTTGGAGGAGAGGCAATATACAAATCTCTGTGTGGGAAGAATTACTTTTCCCAGGGATTTCATTTGATTGTATTCTGTAAATAAAATGCCACTGTTTCCAGTTTTGTATGTGTTTGATTGCCAAAGTTTAGAGAGGCTCTTGCTGATCAGTCTACTCCTCCCTGAACAGTAGCTCCAAATAGAAATAATAAATAATGAAATCAAAAGTCAGGTTTGAGTTATGGAGGCCAGACCAGTCTTTCTTTATGGCCCAGTAGATACCCTTCAACCTCTGTCCATCTTAGGTATTCAAACTATCCTTTTACTATATAAAAAATTGAACTAAATGGAAAGTGGGAAGACCTCTGGCTGAAATGGTGGGTTGGCTGAACTAGCGATAACGTCAGAGGTCCATGGGGTGCCTGTGTCAGATTTAGTAATAAATCTTTGAAGCCAGAGTTAACTCCCCTTGCACTGTACCTCCTACATGAATTTGGGGGCAGCTACAGCCGTTTTCTTCTGCAAAATTCTGGGAAGATCCATGCGGGGCTACAATTGAATTGAATCCCATGATTTAACTAGCGTTTGAGTAAAGACCTACTTCTACCCATCCTCTCCACTGGGACAAAAAGGGGGTGGGTGGTTGTTGCTTGGTGGGGGTCCAGGGCAAACATCTCCCTCCCCGCAGCTCTGATCTGGCCCAGCTAGCCAGCTGCTTGCGGGTCTTCGTTTCGCAAGAAATGCCCCCGCTTTGAAAAAGGCGGCAAGGCATGACTCCTCCAGTCCTTTCCCAGTAAGAGCAGAGAAGATTTGCCTCTCCGCCGCCGTCTGCTCCCGCTCCGGCGTTCTCGTCTCCTTCCTTCCCGAAGAAAGGACCGTTATTCACAACGGCGCGGGCAGAGGAAAGAAGCCGGAGCGGAAAGGGCGCCTCCTCCAACCAAGGCCTACCGGGGGGCGTGTTTTGCTGCTGCAAGTCGGAGCTGGTTCGCCGGAGGGACTCCGCTCCAAGCGGTGGGAGGCTGGCCAGAAAGGGCTGGATCCGAGCTCGGCCCCTGCCTCCCCTCGCCCGCCAACGACGCCGCTTTCTGGTGCCCGGCCGCATCTTCTTCCGGCTTCCCTTCGCTGGGTGGGGCTCTCTTCTCTTTTCTCTCTGAAGGGCTCCAAGTCAACGGAGCTGTTCGGAACTGAATGCCTTGTACCGCTTGGCCTGGTTTATGTGTGCTTGGAAGAAGGGCTTTCTTTTTAAACGAATTTTACGAGACTTACTCCTCGTGAGTAAGCATCGTGCCATTAAACTTAGTGGGACTTCCTTCTGACTGGAACAAAGTTTGAGTCCAGTGGCACATTTAAGACCTACCAAGCTTAATTCTGGGTAACTAGACCCTGGCCTCATAAGAACAGGAGAACATAAGCAGAGCCCTGCGGGATCAGACCAGTGGTCCATCTAATCCAGCTCCCTGTCTCATACAGTGCCCAACCAGTTCCTCCAGACAGCACAGAGCAGGGCTGGCCAAACTTGCTTAACCTAAGAGCCATATAGAATAAATATCAGATGTTTGAGAGCCACAAGACATGAACAAATATTACACAGGTCTTGCCAAAAATAAAAACAGATATTGATAATGATATCTATTTGTCCAATTATATTTATTTGTCTAAGAGAGAGAAAGGTGGAAAGAAAGAGGAGGAAGGAAAGAGAGAGAGAGAGAAACAAAGAAAGTAGATGGAGAGGGGAAGGAAGGAAGGGAGAGAGAAAGGTGGAAAAGAGGAAGGAAGGAGAAAGAGCAAGAGAGAGGTTGAAGGAAAGTAAATAAATGGGGAGGGAGGGGAGAAGGGAGAGGTAGAAAGAAAGGAACTTTTAACTTCAGATGTGTTTTCTAACACACACACGCCAGCCAGCTGGCTTGGCTTGGATTTAAAGAGACAAATGTCTTCTCAAGCTGAATCACACCTCAAGCCTACCCAGGGAGGGGAACACTGGCTGGGGAAGGGATGACGGATCAAGGAGGCATGCTTCCTCTTTGCTTCCCCAGCTGCCCTGCCGGGAGCCGCACAATATGTGTGAAAGAGCTGCATGTGGCTTCGTAGCCACAGTTTGGCAACTCCTGGCATAGAGGCTGAGGCCTTCCCCTGTTGTTGGCTTCTGGCACTGGAACCTGGCACAGGTTCAGTGCTTCAGAACATGAGGGTTCCCTTTATTCACCACAGCTAGTAGCCACTTATAGACCTATTCTCCATGAATCTATCTAGCCACCTTTTAAAATTGCCTATGCCTAGGGCTGCCAAGTGGGGGCGGGTGGCGGGTAAACCCCCACTTTGGAGACCCAATTTCCGCCTGAGGTGACGCAACCATGTTGATCACGTTGGGGGCGTGGCCCCGATCGTCGGAGGGAAAACTATGGTTTTCCCTCTGACGATCGGGGCCACGCCCTCAACGTGATCGACGCTGCGTGTCACTTCCGGTGACGTGCTGGCGGCACGCGCATGCAAAGTGCGCACGCATGCACGTCCACCTACGGCTCCCAGAACCCGGCAAGGCTCCCCCGCTGCCAAGATAAATAGACTTGGCAACCCTACCTATGCCTGTAACTGTCACTACATCCTCCGGCAGCGAATTCCACATTCTAATCACCCTTGCTGTAAAGCAGAGTGAGCTTTCTCTTTTAGGATTGAACTGTTATTAATTCTAAAAAATCCTCATGCTGTTGGGGGAAATATCTGAATCATATAAGGCATCTGAAAGGCTAGCTTGTTAACTAGAAGACATATATTTTTAAATCTTAGGTTGGGAAGTTTGTCAAAGAAAGTGGTGGCGGAAAAGAGAGGAGTCAGAATTATCAACAAAAATGAATAAAGTGACCCCTGTGTGTTTGAAAATGCAGGTATTTATTGCCGAGCTCTTTTCTGACTATCTTGATAGTTTAGTTATTAAAAGGAAATAAGAAAACAATCGTAAGTAGCTACAGGAAGGTCCAAATCTCACCAAAGCTGCTGTTCTGTCATCCCCCTCTGACTGAAATGTTGTGGTGATAACACTGCCATGTCTTACAGAGCTTTCAGTGGCTCAGTGAAGTGGCCAGTCTTAAATCCTGGCTTCTTCATATAGCCTTGGACTTCTGAAATTGTTTTGCAGACGTTGTAACAGGAATCCTTACAAAATCCTAGGTCACGTTTGTTGTTTGCTTGTTTGTTGGCAACCCTCCAAAGAAATCCAAAGCAGTTCAAAATTGAACTGAAAACTATATTGAAGCAACAATAAATCTTGATGATAAAAGGGCAGACCAAGAGAAAGTAGCAGTCATTGTTTTTCTTAATCCTCCCTCAAATGCTGTCCAAAACAGTTTGGCCTCATGCAAGCTCCTGAAGGATGTGAGGGCAGATAGATGCCTTCCTGTCATCAGAAATACCTCTTATAGATGTGGCTAAGCAAACAGTTACTTGTCTAAGTATGAGTTCATTGGTGAGGTTTTATTTGAACTGGAGACCTCCTGGCTCACACTTACATTCTTAAACACTACACCATACCAGCTCTTGCTCTCTAGCCTCCTGCATCGTTTCTTGGGCAATGTAAGCGGGGGTACAGAAGGGCTGAAAGTAAATTTCTTACCAATACTGACTCTCATAAGGAGGGAAGGCAGGGCATGGTATCGCCCAATCTCGTTAGATCTCAGAAGTTAAGCAGGGTTGGTACTTGGAAGGGAAGCCGCCAAGGAGGGCTCTGCAGAGGAAAGCCATGGCAAACCACCTCTGCTTCTCACTTGCTTTGAAAGCCCCTTGCTGGAGTCACCATGAGTCGACTGCAATGTGACAAGATTTCACACACACACACACACACACACACACACACAGACTCTCATGGTGGGCTTGAAGTAGAAGGTGGGAGGTACTAATTCAGCCATGTTCATACCTGTGTTCAGTACTGGCTCATATTGGCTTACATCCCTGAAGAGAAGGTTTTCTCCCACCATCACTCTCACACACACACACATTGGTGTGCTTATTTGTTTAGAAAACCTTTCTCTGCCACCACAAGGAACAGAAATTTTTCTTTGTTGTGACTGTTAAATGAATTTAGGATCGTTGGGAATTAAATGCAAAGGATATGTGACACCCTGCTTAGTTGTTTTTTTTAAGCCAACTAACCTGAAATGTATTTATATACTTAATTTATAGTCCATCTTTCTTGCTGAAACTCAAGATGGATTGTACAATTTAAAACAAAATAAAACATACAACCAATAGTGAATAAAACTGGGTTACAGAATCAGAGAACTACAAATAGTATGGTTGTTGTTCAGTCGCACAGTCAAGTCCGACTCTTTGCGACCCCATGGACAAGATCTCGCCAGGCCCTCCTGTTTTCCGCCGTCCTCTGAAGTTTGCTCAATTTCATGTTCGTTGCATCTATGACACTGTCTAACCATCTCATCCTTTGCCGTCCCCATCTTCTTTGACCTTCAATCTTTCCCAGCATCAGGGTCTTCTCCAGTGAGTGCTCTCTTCTCATTTGGTGGCCAAAGTATTTGAGCTTTAGTTTCATTATCTGGCCTTCCAGGGAACAGTCAGGGTTGACTGATTTGATCTTCTTGCAGTCCAAGGGACTCTCAAGAGTCTTCTCCAGCACCATAGTTCAAAAGAATCTATTCTTCAGCGCTCGGCCTTCCTTATAGTCCAACTCTCGAAGCCATACATGACTACTGGGAATACCACTGCTTTGACCATGCGGACTTTTGTTGGCAGGGTGATGTCTCTACTTTTTATCATGCTGTTTAGGTTCGCCATCGCTTTCCTCCCAAGGAGCAGGCGTCTTTTAATTTCATGGCTGCTGTCACAGTCTGCGGTGATCTGGGATCCCAGAAACGTGAAGTCTGTCACTACTTCCACGACTTCCCCTTCTATTTGCCAAGGAGGGATGGGGCCGGATGCCATGATCTTAGTTTTTTTTATGTTGAGCTTCAAGCCCACTTTTGCGCTCTCCTCTTTTATCCTGAGCAAGAGGCTCTTAAGATCCTCTTCACTTTCTGCCATTAGAGTGGTATCGTCTGCATATCTGAGGTTGTTGATCTTTTCCCCAGCAATCTTAATTCCTGCTTGTGATTCATCCAGGCCAGCATTTCGCATGATGTACTCTGCATATATATTAAATAAGCAAGGTGACAATATACATCCTTGTCGTACTCCTTTTCCTATGCTAAACCAATCAGTTGTTCCATATCCGGTTCTGTTGCTTCTAGTATGGTACATACGAGTAATCTATACTGATACAATGCAGCTGAATTGCAAAATTGGTGAACAGTGCCATAAAGAAAGAAAGCAATTGAAACTGGCTAAATTTCACAGACATTCAACAACTTTATTCCTATTATAAAAATTCCATAGAATTCAGGATGACATACTTCCTAGTATGCGAGGAACTGCCTCCTCTGGTATGTGCCCGAAGAGCATTACGCTCTGCTGAAAACAATCTCCTGGTGGTCCCTGACCCCAAAGACGTCTGGCTGTCTTTGTCCGGAGCCAGGGCCAAAAAGGCTCCGACCTGGTGGAACTCTCTGTCGCATGAGACCAGGGCCCTGTGGGACTTAATGCAATTTCACAGGGACTGCAAAGCAGAGATGTTCCGCCGGGCTTTTAGTTGAGGACAGCAATGGGTTTTACCTGGCTAGCACCTTGCTTTCTCTCTTCCATCCTTTTCCACCATCTCCTCCTTCCCACAAGATGACACAGTCCGCCATCTGGGCATTGTTTTATGAATGTAATGAGTATTTAAAAGTTTGATTTATACTATAATTTTAACACTGCTACGATGTACTTTATTTTATCATTGTTCATTGCCCAGAGCCCTGTGAACTCAGGGATTGGGCAACCCATAAATTGAAAGTATAAATAAATAAATATGCTGAGGGCTCAGATGTCTTTAGAAAAGCCTACGCTTTATCACTGTCACGCATCTCTCTTTGTTTTGATGTAGAGGTCCAGTATTGCAGATACCATAGCAGTCTATGGTAGTTTACAAGGAGAAGATTCGTCAGTCTTTGGGCAGCATGATGAAGACTCTCAGGATGAGCTAAAGCTATCCCAGAAACTGAGGCACATCTGCAGTTGTCCTCCAAAAGGCATTATAGCTAGCACAGTCACAAATGGTATGTAAGAAGTAAAGAATCCCAAGGCAAGAATCAAGAAAATCACCCTTGAATTTCCCATCTATTTTATAGATTTTAACTTTCTCATGGGTTGGGTCATATTTGAAAACAGCCACCATTTTAGAATATAAACAAATCCTTTAGACTATAAATCTGCTTATTATTAGCTGTGAAATGTCTGCCCAGTCCCCCCCCAAAAAAAAAAATAATAGGAAAATATATTGAAAGAGCTGGAACATTTTGTTCCAGTGTCCCCCCTCACTCACAGCTGTAATTCCTCAGATTTGTGTTTGCTCGGCAGCGGTGGTAGTGTTCACTTGAGAGGGTCTCCATGTCAGTTTTTTCCCCACTGCTTAGTGGAGGGATGGTTTGCATGCAGAAATGCCAAATGCTGCAGCTTAGGGTCAAATGAGACAAGATGGTGGGAGTCCTGTGCTCAAGGATGCCTAGGGTTGCCAGGTCTGGGCTGGGAAATACCTGGAGACTTTGGGTACCTGGAGACTTTGGGGGTGGATCCAGGAGAGGGTGGGGTTTGGGGAGGGGAGGGGAGGGGACTCAGCAGGATCCAATGCCATAGAGTCCACCCTCCAAAGCAGCCATTTTCTCCAGGGGAGATCAGCTGGAGATCAGTTGTCAAAGCGGGAAATCTCCAGGCCCCCCCTGGAGGCTGGCAAGCCTAGGGTTGCCAAGTGTTTTTCTTGTAAAACTGAAGCCACATGAGGGCTTGATTCAGATAAGGACTGTGGAGGGGGAAGGGTTTAACTCTCTCTCTCTCTCTCTCTCTCTCTCTCTCTCTCTCTCTCTCTCTCTCTCTCACACACACACACACACACACACACACACACACACACACACACCCCTGGTGATGACACCCAGCTCCATATCCCTTGGCTCTGTGGAACTGCTACTTTTCTGCTGGGGGAAAAGGGCAATTCCATGAGGAAGTCTCAGGTTAGAAAACAGTGTGACAAAGGGGGAAAATATTAACCCCCTTTCCTCCAGGCCCCCAAGCAGTTGCTGTGTTACAAATTAAGACTTGTTTTATTTATCTGACTTACATCCCGCTCCTTTCCCCGCCAAGCGGGGCTAAGGGCGGCTTGGGAACTCCAGACACAGAACACCCAATATCTCACCGAGTTTGACTTTCAGTCCTAAAACAGACACACTAAAACAAGTGACAAAACAGAAATAAAATAGAGAAGTTACAGAAAAGTTTTAACAATATGTCTGAGAAGTATTTATTTATTTATTTAGATAATTATTCCCAGCTTTTTCTCTCCAGTGGAGACTCAAAGCAGCTAACATTGTTAACTCCTCCTCTTCCATTTCAACCTTGCAACACCCCTGTGAGGTAGGTTACGTTGAGAATATATGACTGGCCCAAGCTTCCATGGGAGATTCAGGATTCAAACCTTGGTCTCCCAGATCCTAATCCAAGATGCTAACCACTACACCATGTTGGCTGAAAGCAGCCAATGAGACAGTTGAGCAGGCTTTTCTAGGAGACTGTTCCACATTAGCAGTGGATTATTACATAAAATAAGGTTATTTTTTACACAGTAAGGAGAGGAATCCGTTGCATTCAGACATCACAAACTATATGAACTAGAACAAAGTTTGAGTGTAGTGGCACCTTTAAGACCAACAAAGTTTTATTCATGGTATAAACCTTCGTGGGCATGCATACTTCTTCAGATGCATGCATATAACAGTTTATACTTTGAATAAAACTTTGTGGGTCTTAAAGGTGCCACTGCACTCAAACTTTGTTCTGCTGCTTCAGAACACCTGAATCTATTTGCATGAACTAGGTTCATTTTCATTTGGACATCTCAAGAATTTGGCATTAGATTGAACACTCCCATCTTTGGTCAAAGTGCGTGAAAGGAGAATTAAGAAGGGAGAATACAGGCCTAATATTAAATCAGTTTACCATATCTCCAAACAAACTCTGATTTAAATTTAAATTCCAGTTTGTTTGCAACATCTGAATAGGGCCTAAGCATGAAATCTCATTTGTGTTAATGAAGCTCTGTAACTTGAATATGTTCCATCAAAATTAGGCAGTGGTATCAATGAAGTCCTAGGGTCTTTGGCAATATGCTCACACAAACACAGATGGTAGACTGTGAGGCTACTGAAAGATCTTTATTAAAATTATTTACCAAGATTCAAGCCAATGTAGCTAGTAAGTCTTCCAGAAGTTTCCTCCTCTACCCAATTGAAAGGGGAAGGCCTCTGGAAGTATTTGTTCCTAACTCATGTGATGTCTTCAGAGATGTCAGATGGATGCAAATTTCCACTGGCCTAATACCCTATACCAGGGGTGGCCAAACTTGCTTAACATAAGAGCCACATAGAATAAATGTCAGATGTTTGAGAACAGCAGAACATGAACAAATATTACACTCACATTTTTATTGGAAAATATGGAAATTTGTTTTTTATTAGCAATAAGTGAGACTGCCAAAAACAAAAGGTAAAAACAGATATTGATAATGATATTTATTTGTCCAATGATATTTATTTGTTTGCTAATTATATTTATTTGTCAGAGAGAGAGAGAGAGAGGTGGGGAAAAAGCAACTTTAAATGTGTTGTCCACCCCACCCCACGCCCCCATGCCAGTCAGCTTGGCTTGGAGAAGGGATTGAAAGAGACAAATGCCTTCTCCGAGCTGGCTGGTGGGGGAGGGGGGCTTTGAGAATGCATTTAAAGTTAAAGTTGCTTTCTTTCTCTGCTCCCCCCCACACCTCAAGCCTACCCAGGGAGGGGAACACTGGCTGGGGAAGGGACGACCGATCAGAGAGGCATGTCTCCCCTTCGCTTTCCCAGCCACCCTGCCGGGAGCCACACAGTATGTGTGAAAGAGCCGTATGTCGCTCCCAAGCCGCAGTTTGGCCACCCTCGCCCTATACCTCCTTTCTCTTCCTTTAGCAACAGCAGTTAACCAGTCATGGTTAGGTTTCATCACCCATTTACTTTTGGGGGGTATGCTTGCAAGGAAGAACTAGCTGCAGTTAGACAATGAAGAGGAAACACAGTCACAGTCTTTCTTCATTAACTAGAATACTTAACTGTCCAGGCTGCATCATGCTTTCAAGCAGTATGTTGCGCAGCATGCCTTGTGATGAAAGATCTGAATCGTTTTCATGGGACAGCACCTTTGGCTTTGAGATGCTCAAAGCATAGTCATAGGCTTGTGCAAGCAGAGCTGGACAACAGAAAGGCCTTAGTTTTCAAATACTTTACCTGCATCACCATCTGGAAGCAACATGAATGGTTGCCTTTCAGCTCTGAAACACAGAACAGTATGATAGGGGAAGACCTCGTACTAAAATGTCCCTAAGCCCTGTTTAGATTTCAGCACAGCAATTGCCCTGCCCTGCAGTCTGGATCTCATAGCTTGCTCACATATCAGCACATAACCAGAAATGACTAGCAACCTCCTGGCTGGTGCGAATTGCACTAAGAAAGCCATGTTGGTTGTTTAAATCCATAAAGTAAAGAAACAGAGGTCGATTCAGGGGGAATCGCGGGGGATCACCGTTCCCCCGGGTGAGGTGTGGGTGGGCGGGGCACATGACAAAGCCCCACCCCCTGCCACGCGATGACATGCGCAGGCCCAGCCCCGCCGTTTTTGTAAATAAAGCGCAGCCCCTCCATAGGCAGGGAGGAGGCGGCAGCGGCTCCGATTTGCGCCGGAGCGGGCAGGAGGTGTGGCGGGGCCCCGCTAGGGAATCCGAGATGTGTGACGCTCACAGAGCCAACCAGCAGCGCCTCGGCCGTTGCCACCAACAGCCTCCTCCCCGGCCCCCTCTCCCCCACCAATCGCAGTCAGCAGGAGGGAGGGTGGCAGCTCCGGTGCTAGCCGAGCTCTTCTCCGAAGGGAGGGTCCCCCCCCATTTCCCAATGGGGTCTGCAGGCAGACATGGCTTGCGACATGAGCTAAGTGCGCACGCGCACGCTCTGTCAAGGCAAAGTCAAGCAGGAGCCCAGCGCCGGCGGCTGCTGGTGCTTCCCCGGAGTCGCTGAGCCCAGAGAGGGCTTGGGAGCCTCCAGGCCCCAAACGCATAAACGGGCGCTTCGCCTGCACCAACACCACCCAGCCTTTCTGTTTTGCTCGCTGTTTATTTGGCTGAGATGCTGCCGCCGCCCCCTTTTTATCAGAGTTCTGCAGTCTGCGGGAACGTTTAAGAGCAGAGGTGGGTTCCTTTTTTAAGAGGAAGAGTCCGGGAGCACCTTAGAAACTACCAAAATCTGTGGCCGGGTAGGGGCTTTCCTGCCTCGCCGCTGGCTTCTTCAGATGCAGCGAGAACGTGAGTCCATCTGTCCTTATTTCTTGGACAGAGATGGGCTCACATTCGAACTGTATCTGAAGAAGCCAGCAGCGAGGCAGGAAAGCTCCCGCCCGGCTACAGATTTTGGTAGCCCTTAAGGTGCTCCTGGACTCTTCCTCTATGCTACCGCTGCAGACAGGCTAACACAGCGACCGTCAGGATGTTTTAAGACAGAGCTTGCATTACCCCAAAGCTGGGAAAAGGGAGGGAGGGATTCCCAAATGCAACAAGAAGTCCAAGGGATCCTGCAGCCTGCTCCCATGATCTTAACTGAAGGTGGGTGCAAAGCTGCTATATTATTTATTAATTAAAATATTTACACCTCCCCTTTCCTCTTGGGCAGCAAAGTCAAAACTTTCTCTCTTCATTGCTGTGTTAGTCTGTTGCTGCAAAATAGTCCAAGAGTTCAAATAGCACCTTTAAGACTAACAAATGGCACCTTTAAGACTAACCTTTAAGACTAAGACTAAATGAGTGGTGGGTGTGGCCTTATGACACATCTCCGGTGATGTCAGGGGGTGTGGCCTTATGACACACTTCCGGTGATGTCAGGGGGTGTGACCTTATGACACACTTCCGGTGATGTCAGGGGGTATGGCATATGCTAATGAGTTATGCTAATGAATTCCCCTAGCTCTTTTTCTAGGAAACGACCCCTGTAAAGAAACAAGGTATCAGAAACCTTTACAATCCCTCTGCAAGCATGTTTATTCCTTCCAGTACCTTAAGTAACAAGTCACCCTTCTATCCTTTTTTTTTTGCATTTGTTGATATATATGAAAATGTGAAAAAATATTAGGATAGAGTTACTTTTTAAAAAATTTCTGTTCTTTTTCCAGTGGCAGCAGCAGCACTGATCTGGGCTGTGGTCTGGTCTATTACATTCCATGAGAGTCTTCCTGGTAGGAACCTCTTTGGGCTTTTGTTCCTTTTCTTTTCTGCTGTACTTGGTGGTAAAGTCATGGGGCAGATTAAGCTACCTGGCATGCCTCCACTTCCACGTCTTTTCGGTGAGTGATTTTCCAGTGCTGGTGCATCATTTTATTAGTACATACACTTGATTTGCTGAAACAACAATTGACTCCTCTAAAATCAGATAGGGTGGGATCCCACTTGAAACTTCTGTGTGTAAGAGGGGGCATATTTTACCTGTTCCCCATAATTGGGGAGCATAAGGGGGGGCATTTGGTACTGGCATGGAATGGGCAACATAGGAAAGTTTGCATTTCCGCAGTTGAAATCCTTCTGACAGCAGGAAGAATTTTGGGTAGCCAAGATCAGATCCACATTGCTAGAAGAGTTTTCCATTGTGGGTCACTCAATGGTCATATTTTTGCAAGCGACTGGATTGTTTCAAATGGGGTCCTAAGACTTTCTTTGTCCCATTCCCTGCATTTTGGAGGGGGATGGTATGTGTGTGCATGCCCTGAATTTAGCTGTTATAAGCTTATGTTTTAGCTTGGGAACCAATTCTTGTACCCTTACAGTTGCACATCATTTCCTTTTTCCTTTATTGAGATATTTATTATTGGGCATATTTGTATGCCACTTTTCTCTTTAAAAATGGAAAACTTGTGACAGTTTAAGGTACAGACAAGAACAAAAATATACCCATATACAAGCTAAACAGTCAGGGTGGGAAATGAAAGGCCTTCTGCCATTTGAAGAAAAGTCTTCCACTGGCACCACAGCAAGCAACGGGGGACAGAATTCCAAACAGCCAAGGCAAGTGTTGAGAAGGCCTGTGTACATGTTCTGCCTAGACAGACTTCAGGTTCAGCCATTGTGGGTTTGAATGGCAGCCTTTCCTTGGCTGACCTCAGAGCATGGGCAGGTAGGTGCTGGCGGAAGGAGTCCTTCGACCCAAGCTCTGCAGAGCTTTTAAGGCCATTCCTGACACTTGGTATTGGGCTTGGTAACAGAATGGGGAATAAGCTTCATAACTTCATAGTGATGCTAGGAGGTGGGAGAGGACCAAGTACGTGAGGCTGAGTGGGAGAGAGGTCCAGGAAATGTGGTGGTCCTGGTGACCAGGGCTTTGAACACCAGTCCTTCTAATGATTAAGCTTTTAGTACAGATTGGGGGTTTCTTGTGTGTGCTTTTGTGTTCATACTGAACTTAGCGCCACAGCTGCCAGGCTCCAGATGTTGCCTCCATCTGTGATACCAACAGCCAATAAGATGCCTTTCTCCACTCCTTTTAGGAATGCTGTTTGCTGGGTTTCTCATCAGAAACATCCCATTCACCAGTAAGTTAGTCCATATCAATGTAAAATGGTCAGCGAACCTGAGGAATATGGCTCTCTCCATTATCTTGGCCCTTGCAGGGCTTGGCCTTGACCCGCAGGTACAGTATCAATGAGCTCTTGATTAACACATACAAGACTGTGTGGTAGAGAACAAAGTAAAGTTCAAATCATTGCACTGGCTGGAGCCCCATTCATCAGTGACAAATGTGTTCTGATGGGTTACACGTGCATCTCCCCCCATGGGGCAAATAATGCCTCACATGGCTGTTTTGGGTCCAGAAAATGGCAGGGGGGAGACTGAAGCCCATTCCCCCCCATACCACAGCCCCAATCCAAATCAGTATCCTGCACACTTGAAAATGAGATCTTTCATATCTGACTCCCTCAGTAAAAGGGAAACCCAGATACTGCCAGTTACAAATCATAATGTATAGTTTGACCCTCTAATAGTAAACTATCTGTCTCCAGTGTGGGTGATGAAAGCTGTACAATGGGGATACCCACACAGGCAAGGTGGGAATTTCTGCCTACTCAGGAAATATCTCAGGGACACAGAAAAATATGACTTTATAAATTTATCCAAAGACTAAGGGAACAAAAAAACCAGTCTGATGAGAGCTAAACATTCTCAATAAGTGATGGAATATTGAGAGCACCTGAGTGTCAGTTAAAGGAGAGGAGAGGTGGGCAAGCAGCTCAAGTCTCCCTCAAGGGGGAGACTTTAGGGGTGGGATGGGATTTATCCACATTGTCCCCACCCTGTGATTCTTTGTGGGCCCTGAGCTTGTACTATTGATTTCTCCGTGTGTTTCTCTTTCAGGCTCTGAATAAGTTAAAAGTTGTCTGTTTGCGGATGACCTTTGGGCCCTGTGTCATTGAAGCATGTACGGCAGCTGTTGCATCTCATTTTATCATGCACTTGCCATGGGCATGGGGATTTATGTTAGGGTAAGAAGTGACACTCCTTCCTCCTGCTGAAAGGCATTGGTGTCTTCTAGCAGTGCTTACATTCCCAGTCTTAAATACCTTAGGCAAAATCCAGCGGCTTGAACATATAGAGTCTCCCTCTTCAGATTTTTTGGGTCAAATGTTCATAATAATCAGGAGAAAAGGCAGCATGGTATAGTCTACTCTTGTCAGATCTCAGAAGCTGAGCAGGGTCACTACTTGCATGGAAGACCACCAAGGAAGGCTGTACAGAGGAAGGCAATGGCAAACCACCTCTGTTTTTCAGTTGCCTTGAAAGTCCCCTGCTGGGGTCGCCATAGGTCCATTGCGACTCAACAGCACTTATGTACATATTCATAATAATCAAGCACCCAGAAGCACCACCTTGCATGCACACGTGCAATCAGAATATTTTTCTGTATCCTTCATCCAAGTTAGAGAACATAACTACTCAGGATGTTGTATAGAAGGATACCTGGTGAATGGCAATGCAAGGTAGACACAGCCTATCCTTTCGTTTTTACTATTTGGATACCATAATTAAGATTTGGGGGAAAGAGGGGAAAAATAGACATTTCACTGATCACAAATGAATTCCTTTTTACACTCAGTGTACTTTTAGTTTTGTTCTAGGTGCCGTGTCTCCTGCCATTGTTGTCCTTTCGATGCTGGTGTTGCAAGAACAAGGATACGGGACAGATAAGGGCATTCCAACCTTGCTCATAGCAGCTAGCAGTTGTGATGATGTTGTGGCCATCACAGGCTTCAACATCTTCTTAGGCATGGCCTTCTCCAAAGGTAGTGTAGCTATTCCACTGAGCCATAACATGTCTCACCCTTCCATGCCCAAATGTTAAACACAATCATGTCTAGAGTTTGGAGAGATCGAGGATAAAGAAATATTATTCCAGGGGAAGATGGGAGAGACCACAGTGGCCTCAGGAAGGCCGCATTATGATGTAACATATTTCCCTCTGTAAAGGAATATATGCTGTCCCATAGCTTAAGCAGGCACAAGAATCATTTTTCTAGTGCTGGTGCTAACATGTAATATGCCCCATCTCCCCAATCCTAACCCACACATAACAATCTCATAAGTAATTTCTATTTTATTTCTGAAATGACACAAATAGAAGGGTCATGGCTCAGTGGCTGAACATCTGCTTTGCGTGCTTTGAGGTCCCAGGTTCAACCCCTAGCATTTCCAGAGCAAGGACCAGGGAGTAAGTGATGTGAAACATCTCTGTTTGAGGCCCTGGAGAGCTGCTGCCAGTCAGAGTAAACAACAGTGACCACTAAAGACCTACAGTCTGACTCAATATAAAGCAATTTCATGTGTTTGCATGACTATACTATGGTTGGTAACAAGCATTCAGTCTGAATGGGGGCCCAGCTGGATCCTGAATCCTGATAAGTGTACCATTTCCTATGACACCCCTCCTCCCAGGCAAACCCATATATGCTTCCTTAGCTTCCCAAGCAGCAATATTATGAGCACAATTCCTTATGTGAAGTGGCACCCAAGGAGAAAGATATATCATAGCAGGACAGAAACACACATGTGCACACCAAAAACCTTGTAATCCAAGTTTCAGAGCATCAAAAATCCATTGTTTGTTCCTAGCTTTAGAAGCAGAATGTGAAATGACACGGAGTCACATCGAATATAATCCCCCCATTCTGGGTCTGACACTTTAACCACCACACTGCTGATGGAGAACCACTGCACTCCAGGCACACTTTCTGTGCTGCATCTATTCTCTGTGATGCACTGAAGTGTAGAGGCTCATGGGAGTTGGTCCTACCTTGGCACCAGGGATTGGATTTCATCCTGTTTTGGTTTCTAGTCCTATGGCTTGCCCTTTTCCATGTGAACCAGTATTTTGACAATTTTCTCTGGCAGTAGACCGCCTGAGTTTATGAAACCCTATCAAAGAGATTGTGCAAAAATCCATTTTAACCCCCTTCTCCTGCTGTGTTGAAACAGGCTCCCCCTTTCTCAGTCTCTTCTACGGTGTGCTACAGGTTGTCGTTGGTGCAGCATCTGGGGGCATTCTGGGACTTTTCATTTGGTATTTCCCCAGCAAAGATCAGGTAATTAAAAAAATCTGTTCAAAATTATCGATATAGATCTCTCGAAGTGGAAGCAGTGGGCATTTGCTGAAAACGGAAGCTGTCCATGTCCTAATCCAGAGTTTTGTCTAGAGAATGGCAGATTTTCAGCACTGTTCCCATTCAAGATAAAGGCCACTGTAAATGCAGAAGGGGGAATGTTTCAGCCTTGGCAATCATGTCAGCCTGGTCTGGATGGCCCAGGCTGGCTCAATCTTATCAGACTCTTAGAAGCTCATCAGGGTCAGCTTTGGTTAATACTTGGATGGAAGACCACTAAGGAAGCCCAGAGTTGCTGCACAGTGGCAGGCAACGGCAAACCACCTCTGTTTGTGTCTTGCCTTGAAAAAACCCCTGGGGCCACCATACGTCAGCTATGACTTAATGGCACTTTCCACCAGTCACATTACTGTCTATAACATTAAATAACACCAGTTCTATGAATATGCAGCTTGCATTGTAACAGCCACAGGAAGGATAGGCTTGGGCTGCCATGTAGTTTCAGTCCCTCTTAATGAATAATAAGACCTACCTGACAGGGCTGTTATTCAGTTATCTGTCATAAAGTATGTTAAAGGCTGGCTACTGAAAGTGCTATGTCAATGCAAAGTATTAATATTATTGTTGGTGCTTTTGTGAAAGAATAAATTAAATAGCAACCTTAAAAACAAGTAGCTGTCTGAGCAGATTAATAGCAATTGCTTGTAAAGGTTCTGGTGAACAAGTCAGTATCTGAAAGATAACAGTGATGGTTCCAGGTGAATATGCTTCAGGGGAGGATTCCAGATCTGGAAATGTAATTCTATGCAGTGTTAATCCAGTCTAAACCCACTGATTTCAGTGGTCTTAAGGTCTTAGCAGCCTGCAGGGGTCATTTCCTGCTGGAGCGCACAGGGGCGGAGCTCCGGCAGTAAAGCGCCCAGGGGGTGGGCACATGCAACAAGCCCCACCCCCTGCTCCCAGCAGCCCTCCGTCAGAGCAAGAAGCAGCCAGGTAAGTTGCAGAGCTCCCCCCAGCCCCCCCCCGGTCCAAAACCATCCAGTGGCACCTTTAAGACCATGTTTTATTCAGCTACAAGCTCT